ATGGAGGTTTGGAAGGCAGATCTACCAATCAACTTTGCTTCTCCAGTGCGCCAAATCATTTCTGATTTAGCAGCAACAAGCAAATAGGTGAGATCGATGAGGGTCACGTCATGGTCCATCTTATAGTACTCTTTTACGAACTCACTATATGAGTTAGGAAGCGATTGAAGAACCCAGTCAACAGCTAGCTTCTTACAGAAAATGACTCCCACCATTCTTAACTTGTCAATGGGCGAGTTCTTTTTTAAGACATGTGCACACACTGACTTTCCTTCTTCGTGTTTACTTGCCAAAAGGGATTAAGTGAGCTTGAACTTTTCAAGCATTTAAACTTGTGGGTCAAGGAGAACAATAGGAGGAGGTGGAGGAAGTGAAGAATGATATCTTGTTCCTCGATCGAATCGTGGAATATCATCTTCATGTGGATAGCTTGTTCCAAGGGATTTGCCGATTTGGGAAGACTATAGTTAGAATCAAACATCTACAAAACGGGAGAAAATTCAAGTCAGTTGATTGAGTCCTTAATAAAACACCCAAATGAGATATTAAGGCTAGGATCCAACATAATGTTTTACAATTTGGAAGAGGGATGTCGTAATCCAAATTGCAAAATATTTGAAGGTAGGTAAATGACGATTTATCAATTTCCACCATAAAAAACAAAAAGGAAATTTATGTTTTAAATGAATTGAAACTCTTATATCTCTTGAGATTCATTGAACTTTTCAATGGCATGTTTAAATCTTGATTGTGCCCTTCATTTGTGATCGGGATGCCGAGGATCACAAACAAGGTGTGGATAACCATGCAAATTAACTCGGTACTCTTGATGTTATGAATCACCTAATCAATGTGCCGGTTAACCACACATGCTCCATTGATCTATGATAAACATCAAGCTACCCATTTCCATCCTTCATTGGTCCCATATTAGTGTGCCGGTTAACTATACACGCTCCACTAATCGACCAATAAGGGTGCAATGTGCAATTTCATGGATTAGCACTAAGTCCACATTTTTCCTAATGTAACTATGATTTGAGAATTTATAAAAGTGTTTAGTTACTTCGTTTTTCATTATACTTATAATGGAAGGCTGTGTCCTATCCTACCCGTTCAACTAACGACCCTCCACTAGTCAAGAGTGCGGTGGGTAAGAGTGGATACCCATTAAATCACCATTTGATAAGCATTTTTCTTAAATACCCTTAATAGACTAGGTTCGTGAATGAGGCCTACTAATGGTAAAACTGACTCTTTACTTTTACATATATAATAAACTAGACTTTTAATTTTATGTAGTATAAGTGTGTATTTTAAACTTTTAAAATAATAGGGTTTTTTAATTTTATTAAAATTTTCAAAATTTAAAACCATTTAATTTAAAATCTTAAAAGTTAAAAAACTTTTGATTTAATAATTATTCAAAAATTAAATGATTAATTAAATTATTAAATCAAATAAGGATTACCAATTTAAATTAAACATGTTAAGTTAATTTAATCATTTATCCATGGATTTCGTAATTTAGGTATGGATATCTTTAATTATGCAATTAAACAATTTACAAGATAATTACCAAAACTAACAACCTACTAACTTTTCATTAGATTTCAAAATCTTCTACTTGGAGTGGAAGGCAAGGCTTTCAACCTTGCCAAAAAAATCAAAAATCTCTAGCGTTAGGAAACCCTAGATTTCGACTCCAAGGTGGCCAAAGGAAAGGGTTTGCAAACCCTTAGGAATTTTCGAAAAACAGGGTTCTTCAACCCTAATTTGCGAAAATTTAAAGGCCTTAGGGTTTAATAGCTATCAACCTTAAATTTGTCTAGTTTAATCAATTGTACCAAATCTAACTGAAAACAAAAACCATACGCTCTGATACCACTGATGGGTTTTATACAAAACAAATAATCCTATGTGCACATGCAACCCTAATTTAAGGATCTATGTTTTCACTTTTAGACATATAAGCATTGAACACAAAAACTAGAAACCCTAGGAGGCACACGTAATTTTCGAAATTAACATATAATTAGGGTTAGGATACTTACCTTTATTGTTATATTGTAATAACAATCAAATCCTTGAAGATCTTGAACTTTGGTAGCAAGCGCCACAAGTGTCGAGCCTCTAATGGCTCACAAACAAACCTAGCAACCAAGGATTACTATGGAGAGAGAAGGGAAGTGGAAAATTCGTCCCTAGCCTATCTTGGAGTTCCTTTCTACGAAATCCAACCCTATAGGGGTTTATATAGGTGATAAGGAAGGTTTAGGATAAGAAATGTGTATCTTAGATAACCCTAGTCCCTCAACTTCCTCCTTAAGGCTTCCGAGGCACCCTTAGAGCCCAAGGAAACCCTAGGAAACTCTAGAGTTCATTCCATCCCTCTAAGGAAGGTTCTAGAATGCTCAACGCTCAACTTTTAAACATTGTCACCTTTAGTCCCTACAGTTTCAATTAATTCCTTTAATCCCAAAATTAATTCCAAATTAATTTCTGATTAAATATTAATTAAACAATATGATTTCTAATTAATATATTATATCCATAATACATTAATAAATTAATAAATCATTCTTCTCTCTCCAACAATAATCCTATTCAATTGTCAGGTTTAAAGACAACCCAACAAGACATTGCTATTATCAATTCAAGTACATACCAATTATAGTTGTGGGCTTAGACACCTAATCCAATATATATATATATATATATATATATATATATATATATATATATATATATATATATATATATATAAAGAGAGAGAGAGAGAGAGAGAGAGAGATGTAAGTTTAATTGAGAAAATAAAAAAGGTTGAGAATGGAGGAATCATTTTCAGCCAATCATTTATTTTTGCCGCAAAAACCTCCGTCGTAGCAGCGGAAATGGGAAAGGAATAGACATGTGTTTTCCAACAAAAAATGTTTCCTTAAACTATGCTAATCATTACCTTAATATATGCAAAAAAAAAAACATAGTTTTTTTTCCGTTTTTTTTTTAATTTTTAAAAAACTATTTTTTTATCAAAAATAATGATTTTAAATATACCAAAATTCATGATTTTTTATTCTCTACAAATAAACATCCATATTGATATAGTTTTACGATATATATATATATATATATATATATATATATATATATATATATATATATATATATATATATATATATATATATATATATATATTTAATATTTTCAGCTATCATTATTCATAAATGAATAAAATGTATCAGATTTTTACTACAGTACATTCGTTATTCACATATGAATAAAAAATATAATTAATTTTTTTTTTACAATTTAAGTATCATTTATATATGAATATATTATATAATAAACATAATATATTTATATTTAAATATTAGACGATGCATTTACTTGTGAATATTACATAGTATATTCATTTGTGAATATTAGATGATATATTCACTTATGAATATTAGATGATATATTCATATGTGAATATTACATAGTATTACATGTTATATCACATGTGAATATTACATAGTATACTCACTTGTGAATATTAGCTGATATATTCACTTATGAATATTATACAATATATTTACATATGAATATTAGAAGGTATCTTCACAAATATATATAAATTTTATATGTTATTCACATATGAATAACATACAAAATTGCATATTTGTTTTGTGTTTTAATAATCATATACTGATTCAGGTCAGAAAACATATTCATATATGAATATAACATGATAATTTAGTTTATGTGTTTCATCAAACAGTTGGGTGCATACAAGTTAACGTTTTTTAAAAATGTTAAAAAGATGATACTTTGACTATTTAAATCTTACAAAATAGTAGATTGATAGAGAATTATATGAAATTTTTCAAAAAAACAAACGATTTGATCTTTTTTTAACTTCAATTTTGAAGTTTTATTTGATGATCGATGTTGAACGAATGATATGAAGTGGATTTTTGTTGATTATCGATAATGTTGATCTAATGATGCTGGAAGTATAATTAATCATCGATGTTGAAGATCTGATCGTATTCAAGCAGAATTGAAGGTTGGATTAAAAGAACCAAAAACGAATTTTTATTGTCAACTGTTGAATGTTGTTTATAAACATGTTATTGATGAAGATAGATGATTGATTAACACTAGATGACGTTGATGAGGGTTTAATTGAAGAAATTTGGATAATTGTTGAAGGTTAGAGAAGAAATTTGGATGATGAACGATCGATTAACAATGGGTTTGAACTATTATCTAATTCTCTACAGTTACGTATTTGAGATTGAAGGTTGTTATGATAATTACAAGTTTGCCACTGTGTCTTTTTATGATTAGATTAAATGATTGGCTGAGAATGATTCCCTCATTCCCAACTTTTTTTTCTCAATTGAAACTCTCTCTCTCTCTCTCTCTCTCTCTATATATATATATATATATATATATATATATATATATAAATAGAGAGAGAGAGAGGGGAAGGATCATTTGAGAACTCAAAGTTTCCCGAGAACCCGAGAACTAAACAATGACCGTTAGATTAAAATAATAGAGGGTTAGGATGCTTTGTGGTATTTTTGTAAATATGTGAAAATAAAAATGGATGTGGGGCATCTTATTGAAAAGACTCAAGGGTATTTTAGGGATAGTGTAATTGATTCCCCTTTATCAGATTTAATCATGTCAACTATGCGCCTATCTCTCTCTCTCTCTCTCTCTCTCTCTCTCTATCTCTACACCTTCATCATTGATTGTTGGATGAAACCACTGTCTAAAATCCATGGCCGCCTCCAATAATCGTCACCCCCATCAACTAATCTCCTTCCTCATCGTCTCCCCCTTCTCTTTCTACCTCACAGACACAGACACACACACACACACAGGTAATCGACTAAAAATGCCTCTTCTTATCTTCTGTTTCCAGCGACATGATGTTTTAATTTTTTGCTCATATGAAAAATTCTATTAATGAGCTTCTTGTTTCACCTGTTTCGTGGAATCAATGCTAAATCTGGCTCAGGCTCTGTCACGGAATCGAGAGATAAAGGAATCAATCGATGCCTCTAATCTCCAATCTCCAAATCGCATACGGTAAATCCAAGAATCAATGATCAGACCTTAGAATACATGGAAGCCTCCACCATCACTAATTATGAAGGTATGGATCCGTATTCCCAACAATTTTTTGATATCCGGTGAATAACGACTTGCAATCACACTCCACGAATAAAAGAATTTGATATATATATATATATATATATATATATATATATATATATATATATATATATATATATATATATATATATATATATGATTCTTCGAAATTGATTATCGATAGAGCTATGCTACGGAAGTACAACAACCATGCTTTCACCGCCTTGTTCGAAATTGATTGTCTACTACCTTCTGTCCTCAAGTCTATATCTTGTTAATTTTACTATTTGAATATGTCTGTGTATGTTTCTTATTTCTCGGGGAGAAATTGTTTCAAATTATCCATGGGACGTGACCGATGAAAGAAAGTAAGTTCTAAATAAATTAATGTTCATTTTAAACTTTTTTTTGATGAAAATGCTCACATACTAATAAACATCTTTCTATTGCACTTATGTTTGTTTGATTTTAAGACTTGAAGGTTTAGTTAAATGCTTTAGCAACTTAATTTGAACCTTAAGATTGAAAATATGATATATAGATTATATTGTAGTATGCTGACATTGGTTTTTCTAGTATTTCAGCAATAGTTACTATGCATGTCCTCATGATGTAACTTTCAAATACATGGAAAATTTGTATAGTGGCTCTCACTTTAACATGTCTCAAGGCAGCGAATTTGAAGAAGGAATAAATAATGGGGGCTAATGGAATTATTCTATTTAAAATGTATAATGTTCCAAACTTTTTGACATTTGAAAACCTAAAATTTAGAAAGTTTCATTTGAATTCATAAGCTTTTCAAGTGGATTTTGTGATGTAAATTTTCAAAACTAATATGGATGATTGGTGCAGGTATCCCATATATGGAGACATGCAAGATTGGAACTACATATTTGTTGATTGTTTTGAACCGACTTTGGAGATCAGTGCCAATAGTGGTTTCCTGCTAATAAGATGAGCTTCGTCTATTAAACTTATTGACCAATGCAATTTGTTTGAAGAAAAAAAATCATTTCTTTATGCAAATTTGGGTTCCCCTAGCAAACAACTGACAAATTAATTTTGTAAAACTTTGACAGCTAGGGACACGAGCACTCATGGTGGATTTTCAGTTCCTTGGAATGCAGCTGAGAAAGTGTTTCCTCCATTGGTAGCCTAATTCTTCAATAAATTGTGTTTCATTGAGGTTTAATTTTGACTATTTTAATTATCTTTGTGGAAAATTCTAGAACTTTTCACAACAAACTCCGGCTCAAGAATTAATCGTGAGGGATTACATGACAATGAATGGAAATTTAGACATATTTTGTGGTATACTTCCAAATTTTTTCGTTTCATAAATATTTTATGATACTTTTTACTTAATGAACTTATAAAGAAAGTTGAGAAAAAGAAATGAGGCTTTCCCCATTAAGTCCTAACTTTTTTACAAACTTACAAGAGTTACATAGATTCGTGACTTGCATTTTGTATAAAAACCTCTCTATTTTGTCGTTTAGCTTTAGTAATTCTTGAATAATCTTTCAATAATACCTCTAAGCAATTTGTTTTTACAGAGTTTGGTACTATTTTAGTATTGTTTTAAGAATCAATTACAAATCATATGTGATTTGTGTGAATTGGCATACTATTTTAGTAATAAATTGAAAGCAAGACTATAAGTGTGTAGTGATTCATATGTAAATCACATGTCATTCACATATGAATCACATGTAATTCACATGTACATCACAAGTGAATCACATATGAATAACATGTGATTTACATGTAAATCACATGTAATTCACATATGAATAACATATAATTCACATGCAAATCACAGGCGAAACACATATTAATTACATGTGATTCACATGTAATTCACAAGTGAATCACATATGAATTACATATGATTCACATGTAAATAACATGTAATTCACATATGAATTACCTGTGATTCACATGTAATTCACATATGATTGATTTGTGATTCACATGTAAATTACAACTGAATCACATATTAATTACATACGATTCACATGTAAATAACATCTAATTCACATATGAATTATATGTGATTCACATGTAATTCACATATTATTCGTTTGTGATTAACATGTAAATTACAAGTAAATCACATATAAATTATATGTGATTCACATGTAAATCACATGTAATTCACGTATATTAATCACATGTAATTTACATGTAATTTACATGTAAATCACAAGTGAATGACATATCGATTACGTATGATTCACATGTAAATCACAAGTAAATAACATATGAATTACATGTGATTCACATATGAATTGCGTCTATATGCACACATGCATTTTGTGCGATTGTTCTTTGTTAATTATTTTAAAAAAATTTCTTGTGAATTTAATATTTGAATCTTAAAAGATACAATCACATGTGAATATCACATTATATAATCACATGTGAATCTTACATGATATAATTACATGTGAATGTTACATGATATATACATGTGCATTTTTGTTAGCTTTCTTGCATTAAGCATTTTTTTTATTTTATGGTAGATTTTGTGGAAAATATTGAAGAGGTGAAAAGTGATAAATTGAAGAAAATAGGGAAATCTTGATATGAAGAAATGATAACATTGTGAATATTTGTAGTTTTTTTTTTTTTTTTTTTTAAGTTTATTTGTATCGAAAAAAAAATACTTGTAGTATTATGTTTATAATTTGGTTAATAGAAAATGAGATTTTTTATGATTTACTTATGAATATTATAGTATAAGAAATATGCATATATGCACCTAAAACATTAATTGTTTTTTTGTTAAGAAATTAGAGATTTTTGTTTTAAGTATTCTAGTTTTTTTTTTTTTTTTTTTTTTTTTTTTTTTTTTTTTTTTTTTTAAATTTATTGATTTTTAAAATTTTCGTTTTTAAAAAAATGCAGTTTTTTTTTTTTAAATGCATTTTTTTTGAAAAATTACAATTTTTTTTAAAATGCAGTTTTTTTTTTTTTTTTTTTTTTTTCTTGAATGAAGATTTTTAAGAAAGAATTGCAATTTTTTTAAAAATTCATGTTTTCTGAAAAAGAAAATTTTAAAAATCTCTTTTAAAAAAATCGAAAATTATTTTAAAAAAATTTGAAATTTGATTTATTATGCTAATTTTTAAAACTTTTTATGAATATTTCCAATAACAATAAATATTAAACATTACATGAGATCGGTAAGATGAGGATCGTGCTCTTAATGAGTTAGTTTTGATGTAACGCTTTATTTTTAGTACTCAGAAAACTATGAGTTTATAATGGATGTCACCCATATATATATATATATATATATATATATATATATATATATATATATATATATATATATATATATAGGTTCATCTGAGACAATCTAATTTTGTGAGACTATGAGATGCAATCATAACCAATCATTTAGTAGATAAAAAAAACATTTTTAAAATACAAAATAATTGAAAATTTTCAAAAAAAAAAATTTCAAATATTATTTTTGGAATTTATATTTTCCAAAAAATTACCAAAAAAAATAATAAATAAATACATTTTTGTTTACATATTTCAGTAGAATATTAAAATGTTTAACATATCTGACAAATTTAGTAGAATATTTTAACATTCTAAAACTCACATTATTTTTAGATTTGGTTTCACGGTTTCATATGATCTTAATATATATATATATATATATATATATATATATATATATATATATATATATATATATATATATATATATATATATATATATATATATATATATATATATATGCACACACAAAACCATCGATCATTCCTATATGTTTATGCCGAATGGAAACCATATATTAAATGGGAAATAAAGAAATTTTGATAAAACAAATGCAATCAAGTAAACAAATCGTTTTGTAAATAATAGTATAAAAGACAAAAATCGTTATCATCAAACTAAATATTTGACGCCAAATAGAGACAATATTTTAAGGATAAGTGGGTAACCACTCCACCACGTTATGCAAGAAGATTATTGTTTTATTTAAAAAATAATAACTTAAACGATAAGTTACAAACTTGGTCCTTGACTTATATTCATCTTCATATTTAGTTTAGATTTTATTTTCACATGTATAGTCATCTATTCAACTATTTTATAACAGGTCGAACGATCAAAATGATAATTCATCATTTCCAGCTGTCTATTTTCACATTTTTTTCTCAATTGTGTCGGGTTTATGTTATTTAACATTTATGGGTGCTTGGCACGATAATCGTCTCCATAACCGGCCATTCTTACAATAATAATAATAATAATAATAATAATAATAATAATAATAATAATAAAAGAACTGTTACAAAGAACAAAGTTGAGAAAATCCATCTATTATATTGACAAAAAAAAGTCATTATTATTATTCTTAATGTTTGTTTAAGTCATTTTATTTGATATTTGTGGTTAAAATTATGCTTTTGACCGGTAAATTAACATACATGAACCAACAATTTTTTATGGCCCAATCTATTATATATAATAACTTTAGAAAACTTCTAACATATTAAATGTAAGTATTCAATTTTTTTTCCCAGAATTTTTCTCTGGGATGAGATCTCTATCATTATTTTGTAATGATCATATATATTAGATTCATAATAGAATTTTTAATCATGATGGTATATGCCTCGATTCAAGTAGTAAACAATCGTTTTATTAATTGTTCTACAATTTAGAACTTATTTTTGTTTATTTTGACACTTTAGTTATTATTTTTAAGGCCATTTATCATTATACTCTTATAAAATCTTTATATATATATATATATATATATATATATATATATATATATATATATATATATATATATATATATATATATATATATATATATATATATTTTATATATATAGGATTTAGGGAATATGTGCTATCATGTACCTAATGTTAGATATAGAACCATTATGAACTACACAATTTTAACAAAATGCAATCAAATCTTTCTACCATCATTCTTGCATCTTCTATTAAAGCTTATTATAAGCTTTGTATATATTTTTATAGAATTTTATAAGTTTAATTTTACATCGCAAACGATGTACAAAAATATTTTACCAACTACTTTTAGGTCTCCTAATTGAAATTTAATATAGAAAACTGTATTGATAGATTGAAATTGTTCATTCAAAACTATCATAGAAAAACCATACAAGTATAAATAATATAAGTATTAAAGGAAGTTATGAAACTACTAGAGGTCTAATAAAATAACATATTCAAAATAGATAGATATTGGGAATGAATTACGAAATCAAATATACTATGAGTTCAAATGCAATAATAAGAATATAACAAAGAAAGAAAAATGTGTTTTTCAATCAAAATGAAGTCAATTTTGATGGTTCTATATCTAATATTACATACATGACAACCACATATTCATTTTTCTCATATATATATATATACACACACACACACGAATGTTTAATAGAAAATGCATAATTAAGATTAATTTGTGACATTCAGTAAAAACATTACATATGTCATTTTAGCATAAATTAGGCTAATGATCCTTATAGTTTGGAGTAATCTACGTCTTGGGTCCCTAAATTTGATCAATCGATTTGGAAAAGACTAAACGATTTTATTTAATATTATTCTAGAAACCCCAAATCAACAATTATTCCATATTCTCATTTTCACACCTGCAAAAAAAACCTAAACTCTAATCTAGCCATAAATTTACTATTCGATGAATGTGTCGACCTCGCGTTATCAAACCCTATTAAAAATAACCAACACAAGATACACCAAATGTAACAATTGCATTATCTCTTTTTCAAATCTTCGAAGAATCCTCAAATGTAACTATTACATTATCTCTTTGATTTACCTGCACTTTTCTCGAGATTACGGTTGTTGGAAATAACTGTCGATCTGTACAAAGTTCCTACGAGATTTGAAATCGAAGAGAATGGGAAAAGATCAAGAGTTAGGGTTGTCAAGATAGAGGTAGAAGAAATAGATGGCAATAGTTGTTATAGGTTTACCAATTTGTAAACTAGTTTATAAGTATTTTTTTCATTAAATTAATCATATAAATTATTTATTTTTATCTGCTTAATTAATATTTTTGTTAAATTTTATTAATTATCTTTGTTTTTATTTTTTAAGATTTTTTTTTTATATTTTGTTTCCTGTATTTGTCGTTATTATCATCGTCGCTGTTGATATTTATTATTATTATTATTATTATTATTATTATTATTATTATTACTAATTTTGAATGTTATACTTGATTATAAAGACCTAAAAAACATATCTATTTGTCATTATTCTTAAACAACAAATGACATGATTTTTATAAAATCATTTGATTTTATACAAAATAGATTTTTGTCTCAATTTATACGTAAAAAATGGTGCTAACATGTTAAAAAATACTTAAATATTTTTTGTGCAAAATTAGGTCTTAAAGTACGAAAAATGTAGATTTTTTTTTTTTTTTTTTTTAAAACTGCAAGGTGGTAATCAATTTAATAATCATCACAAGTTCAAATGTAACCTCACAAATCGAGGTCTTCAAAATATGATCATCATCTTCTAAGCAACCATTTTTTTTCAATCTGAGCACAAATCAAAATAAGTTAGACAATATAATAGCCTAGTGATAATACATGTGGTTGACTCATTTAGAGTAATGATGATAGTAATCATCATACTCAAGACTAACCCGTAAAATCAATATATAAATTAATGAATACCATAAGAATTAATAAAACAAAATGTAGACAACTAAGACTCAAATAACCAAGAGCAAAGGGTATATAAACCATATTTAAGGAAAGGATGTAAAATCCATGAATCACAACCCCAAGAGTTTAATAAGTCAATATTTCTCATCCACATAAGGTAAGAACGAAATCCCCCATCATGAGCTTACTAAACCACAAAATGCAACAAGGGAAGAACGAAATCCCCCATCATGAGCTTACTAAACCACAAAATGCAACAAGGGAATTAATATTCCAGAGTTTAAAGAGATAATAAATATATATCCCAAACCAAAATGTAACACCCAGGTTTTGATCATGTTTCTATTCCAAATTAGTGGTTTTAGAGTCTATGGTAGATGCAAGCGAGAATGGAATTTGGAATCAAGAAGGCATATAAATTAAGGAGAAATTCACGTAAGCGTGTCGTGCCTAATTATGGCGTGCACAACCTACATGGCAAAAGAAACCATAATTTTCTAGATTTGGTCACTTTTAATGGAACTAACTTCTAGGGTTGCTTTCATCATTCGCATGCAAAACCTCTAAGCCCCTGATACTCGAAACCCTGGTATCTCTTACCTTGATTTTCCTTGAAGTATGGTGTTTGGGTGATTTTTTTTACTCTTGAAGAAGGATCTCTTTTTTTTGGTGCCTTGGGTAGCAAGATTTAGCCAAGTTCTTACCTTTTCTTTATCCTCTAAACCATTATGAGGTATAAACTAACAATCTTTATATGCTTTGCTTCCTAGACGAGGAAGTAATATGTCCCAAAGGTTGTGTTTCATGGTCTCCTGGACCCATAGTAGTAGAAAAAAGTGATTTCTATTTTTCCTTTCGGTCCATGCTTGATTCTAG